ACAGCGAAATGAACCGGCATGTTTTACGCAGCGGATGCCCTTTCAGCTGCAACCCATCACTGGGAAACATCCATACACATTCATTCACACACACATTCATACACTACGGCCAATCTAGTTTTTTCAATTTACCTATAGCGCATGTCTTTGGACTTGTGGGGAAAACCAAAGCACCTGGAGGAAACCCACGCGAACACTGGAGAACATGCAAACTCCACAGAGAAATGCAAACTGACCCAGCCAAGGCTCAAACCAGTGACCTTCTTGCTGTGAGGCGATTGTGCTACCCACTGCACCACCACGTCACCCTAATGGTTATGGATATATACATTTTTTTGTATTTGAAGCGATATTAAAGCATGTCACATCTAATGAGATACGGTGAACAACAACAACAAAATATTAAAGCAGCATTGTATTAGAACAAACTAAAAAATGTCAAATATTTGTTGATTAGTGTTTCTGTTTCTTGCCATTAAAACAAACAATGGCTGTTTGTGGACACTGGTATTTTGCCTACCTGATGTTCTTTGCTAAGCCAGTAGGCTACACTGTTGGTTCCAATTAAGGCTCTGAAAACAGGATTTGCTAATCCTGAAATTTGGTATTTGGATAATAGTGATTCAACCCAATGTTTCTTTAAAACTCTCTTAAAATTAAGATCAATTAATCCTGGATAGCAAAAAATGGGATTTCTAAATCTGGACTAATTTGAACCAGAATTTTTTTTAAACTGGGCCCTGGAGATCAGCTGAATGGATTTAAAAAATTGTGAAACTGATCTGTTTAACTGTAGGGGACTTGACTAAAAATAAGCCTTTTTTTTTTTTTTTATAAGTGTTGCTTGAAATTTTCTACACTACAGATGAACATATGAAAGATGCATGTTAAATTTTGTACTACTTTTATACAACACATTTACAAATGTCAACTTAATGAACAATATTTGTAAAACATTGACTCAAACACACAACGTCTGCACAAATGTTTATTTGCCATTATTTAATTCAACATAAGACAATATGTTTTAATCATGTTTTTACAGCTCAAAATAAATGTGATTTCATATTCGCAATACAAGCAATATGCTCACTTGCTTCAGAAAAACAAATACACAAGCACTTGGTTTGATGTTGTTTTAAACGGAGTTAATCAAGACTAAAACTTAAGCTCCATTCTTTTTTAATAAAATAACACTTGTATGTGAATGTTTAAGCTGCTGCTGCTTCCCTTTTTGGGTAAGTTTTTGATCATTCAAGCATTACTCTGCATGAAAACTACTACTTTTAATAAACGTGATACTTAATATGTATATAAATCATCAAGGAGCATTACATTTGATAAGTTAAGCTATCGATGTAAGCGATTAATTCAAATAAAAACAGCATATAAATAAATTACACTAATGATCAACTCTAATTACAAGGGTATAGGAATCCATCAAGGAAAATTTCCCACTCATCAATAAGTAATCAGCACAAAATACACTTCAAACCTCCACAGAGGGTGCAAGAGAAACCGGTATTTCTATTTACATCAAAACACACAGCATTTTATATACAGACACATGGGGCTTCCTTCTTAAAGGAAAAGGTTTTCTCTGCTTCACTCCAATACATATTGAACTGAAACGAAAGGGGTTACCACCGAAGAGGTCGATAAGCGAACATTGTTTGCATATCCAGATGAATTCATTCATTGTTTCATTCTATTCGGTTTGTCAATGCACAACATTCTTCATGCAATCTAATAGAAACCAATCAATGCTTCATTGTATCTTTCTAAATCTGAGGACGTGTGTTTTGTGAGCTAAACACAGATCCTCTCATTTCCTTCCTCTCCAACATACACGAGACCTTGAAAATATGTCATTCTGCAACCTCCATCCTGCTCACTGCTTAATTTGTAAATTGCGAGGTCCAGGGAAAGATCGGGTTAACGGATCCGGCATGTTACCAGAGGAGGGAGAGGTGTCTCGGACAAAAGTGAAGAGCGAGTTGGGGGGGTGGGAATTGACTGTCGCAGACTAATAAAAGTGAAGAGGTTTTGGGAAGTCGCAGAAGAAAGTGAAGGGCAAGGTGGGGTTGCGTGTGAGGGGGTGGGGGGTGGGGGGGAAATCGGTAAAATGAGGTGCCGGATCCAGCTAGTTCGGCCACAAATTAAGCCCTGATCCTGCTACATCAAAATAAAAACAATTATTTGCTTTCCATTCTCCTAAACCACCAGAAAAAATAATAATATTTTCATTTGGTATGGTATAAGGTGCATTTTATCCTCAACTATAAATTTTTTTTTTTGTACAAAAAGCACTGCAATACCAAAAGTATTAATCACATAAAGGAGTTAATTATCTACATAACCAAGTCAGCACACTTTCAAGTGAGCAAACATTATTATTTGAACTAATTAATGAGGGGAAAAAGACCTCTCACTAAAGTGTTATGGCTGTCCAAGCCACTAGGAGAAGCTGCTGAAGATTCCTAGTGAGAACTGGAATTAACCGGTTCATCCTTTCCACCAGCATGACTCCATCCATTTAAGTTGTGACATATCAGTGACGAATGGAAAACCGTTTCCAGGTCCAAGCTGCTACTCATTTAAATAGCGAAAATGTTTATTTATATCACATATTAAAGTGAATTTTATATAAATCATTACAACACAACAGTCTCTGAACTTACTGCATCACAAATACCAAAATTGTAACAATTTATAAAAAAAATTTATAACTTTCTAGCCATCGATATTAGGCATGGTTTTATATATATATATATATATATATATATATATATATATATATATGTTATCTTTGTAAACGTTTATTACAACCATTTGATGAGTCTCCCCATACAGTTTGATACAGCTATTGGACCCGGAAGCAGATTTGCATGGCGTCACTTTTAACAAGTGGTCAGTCACCCTAGCTTGAAAAAGAATTTTGGACAAATTTTGGTTGGATGAATTAAATTCTAGCTTAAATTCTTATGAAAACACCATTGTTTGTGATTTAAAAGAATGACTGAATAGAAGATAGACAATGATTAGCCACTGAAAACAGAGACACAGCAGAGAAAAAGTGAATTATTGTAACATATAATACCATGTGTAGGGCTCCACAATATATCGTTTCAGCATCGATACCGCAATGTGCGCATCTGCAATAATCATATTGCAAGACATGCAATGTTTACTCTGGATTATATATTACAGGAGCTACAGAATTGTAGTTAATTACTCTATTTATACATGACTTTTACGATTTATGTTAAAAATCATTTTCTTAAAATTTTAGTTTTGTGTTTTTGTGATTAGTCAATTTTTTGTATCTGAATTGTGTTAGACTCCACTGAAAACCATGAAATAGTGCTATTCAAACCTTCAGGTGAAACTGCATTTATAATCGCAATAGAAAAATAAAATATCGCAATATCAGATTTTCCCAATAGTGTGCAGCCCTACAATGTATACAACAATCCTATTTTTATCCTATTTATAAAGAAAATGTTCAATTGGAAACACGAGTTTCCAAAAAGAAATTAATAAACCTTCAAATTTAAAAAAGTTAGCTTGACTTTTTATGTGGTACAATTAATATAGAGCCAGATCAGTCTCAAAACTAATAAATTTACAAAATAAAATTCAAACATGCGCAGCACAATTCATCTTTACAAAGCACAATACTAAAATACAACACAATTTGTGAATTCACAAGTATATTTTTGCCAAACAGGAGTATGAATTTGTAGGTTTTACAATTGTCTTTTGAATTTACGAATTGGATTTGTGTATTTTTGAATCGTCTTTAGAATTTACAATTGGGATTTGTTTTTCAAATTTTACAATTTGATTTGCAGAATTGGACGTGTGTATTTTTGAATAATCATCTTTTAAATTTTAGAATCAGATTTGTATTTTTTTAACCGTCTTTTGAAATTTCGATTTGGATGTGTATTTTCGAATGGTCTTTTAAATTTTAGAATTTGATTTGTGTATTTTTGAATTGCCTTTTGAATTTTCGATTTGGATTTGTGTATTTTTAAATCGTCTTTTGAATTACAGAATTGGACGAGTGTATTTCTGAATAATCAGCTTTTAAATTTTAGAATTCGATTTGTGTATTTTTTAATCGTCTTTTAAATTTTAGAATTGGATTTGCGTATTTTTGAATCGTCTTGAATTTTCAAATTGTTTTTTGAATTTTTTTTTTTTGGATGTGTATTTTTGAATCATGTTTTAAATCATCGTCTTTTCAATTTACAAATTGAATTTGAGCATTTTCAAATCGTCTTTTGAATTTTAGAATTGAATTTGTGTATTTTTGAATCTTCTTTTGAATTTACAAATTAGATGTTTATTTTTAAATTGCGGTTTGAATTTACAAATTAGATTTGTGTATTTTTGAGTTTTAAGTTCATGAATTGGATTTGTGCATTACGAAATGTGTTTTGAGCTAACAAACTGTACTTTGTAAATGTGAATTGCGTTGTGGATGTATGAATTATATATTGTAAATGTATTATTTTTTACACTGATCTAGCTCCATACAATCACTATTTGTTTTTGATTGTGTCCTGTCAGCCCTAAAATTGCTCTCATCTTGCACTGTGAAAAGTGTGTGAAAAAGTTATAGATCATGGCAGTATTTTGTTGTAGTAAAAATAGAGCTGTAAAATAATAATAATTATAGTAATGAGAATTACTCAAAGCATAACAACAAATATATAGTGAAAATAATTACACAATGACCAGATAAATGACATAATAGTCCTAAAATGGCATTTTTGATGCAAAATATAATTAAATATAATTATATACTTTTAGCTTTGATTTTAACAAGATCGTGACCTCAATAGGCCTGGTATATATGTTACAACAAGAAAAAGGGATAGTCCACCCAAAAATAAAAATGATGTCATTATTTTCTCATCCTTGTGCAATTACACAAGCCTGTATGACTTCCATAGAACAAAAGCAAGTGTATTTTGTTTTTCTTTTTTTTCTCAATAGCTTATAGGAAAGTAAATACCATTATTGTAATTTTTGGGTGAAATTCTCCTGACATCACAGTCCAAATTCATTACTAACATAGAAGGAATTTCAATCTCCAATCAAATCCATGTACAAACCCTGTAAAGTAACTGTGAGAACAAAAAAGTCCGTATTACCAAATTAGGAGTGTCCCGTGCTGCGTCTGATGACTTTTCAAATGCAAAATGTCACCAGGTGGGCATCATATCTGGAAACCAAACACGTCCTAGGTGTTTGGAGACTTCCCAGTGGATCTCATCCAGACCGTATTTGTGGTCAGGAATGAGCACCTCCTCCATGATAGACAGCTGAGAGAGCCGACGGCCACACATTTTCACAAACTCCACAAAAGCGCTGCAGGAAACCTCGCATTCACCCAGTCCAATGGCTGATAGAAACTGGCAGCGCTCTGCGATACGAATGAGCTCCTCATCCAGTGGCCGCAGACCATTCGCGCACACCACCAGCTCTACCAGACGTGGGCAGTTCATGCCGACGCGGCCCAGGACCTCCTTGCTGACAGAGCGGCCAAAGTAGAGGTGCGTGACTGGGATCTCATCCCGGAAAAAGGGCCCAAACTCATCCTCATACAGGAAGAAATACATGACCAGGTTGAACTTGGGTGAATGGCGCACCATGGCGTCCCAGCTGCTCTTCTTGATGGTGTGGAACTGCTGGCCGGGGTTTTCGCTTACCACGTCGATGCGCAGATGCTCCAGGTGAACGTGTTTCTCTGAAGAAAGTGCCAACAGGAGCTCGTCGCTCAAGAGGTGGTAGTTCAGCGCCAGTTCTCTCAGACCATGACACTGATCAGCAACACACAGAATTCCTGCAACAACAGAACAGTGATGGGTTCATCTGTAACCAATAGCCATGGCTTATAAAGCACAAGCGTTACAAATTATTATTCAAATTTAACATCAACATCTGACTAGAGACTCTAAACCCCAGACATTTTATCCTACCTTTCAGGTTTTGCTACCAACACTGCATTTGAATGGTTCTGAGGTTGTGGTGATTTAAAGTGGTATTATAGCCTGAAATCCCACATCAAATGGTGTCTGATGGGTTGCATATTTCATCATCAAAATGTGCTGCCTACTTTTTAAATAGAAGGTAGGACAATCTAAAAGGGTATGACAAATCAACAAAACACTGTCTCATATCTAAATGAGTAAAATGAAACTGAATGAACTTGACTTCCTTGTCAAACTGTAAGATCTCAGCTGTCATAATGTTAGACTAAAGGACAAAGAAGATACACCAAGCACAGACACGCACAAGAAAACATGCCCAGAATTTGATGTCGTCCATCAGTGACACATTCACTGTGCTGCATTTTGAAATGATACCTCACAACAAACTATGCTTCAATAATGAAAAAAAAAAGTTCCCTATGCTGGTTTGAAGTTAATGCACTGATCAGATTCAAAAGAAACAAATAAATTCATAAACGTTTAGAACCACTTGAGTGTGAGGAAATGTACTTTTCAGGTTTTTGCTTGGACTTGCCCTACCCAAAATGAAAAGCTTTCCATACTCGCATGCAAGTGTAAATGCAAAATGTTGGTATCATTTTACAGGAAACTCGGGCAGCAAGAAAAATGTATTAAGTGTAAAGAAATAAAATAAGTGATGCACATCCTGGGTTGCCTAGTCTGTGGTTTTCCAGTGGAATTGTTATATTTTTAACAACTTGCCGCAGGCTTATTTATTTTTATTCCAGGGTTAAAGATGACATATTGCATTTATACTTATATGGTTGCAATGAAGGGGTGGCCTGATGGCGCAGTGGTTAGCACTGTCACCTCAGAGCAAGGTCGCTGGTTCGAGCCCCATTTAGGTCAGTTGAAATTTCTATGTGGAGTTTTCATGTTCTCCCCGTGTTGTGTGGGTTTCCTCCAAGTGCTCTGGTTCCCCCCACAGTCCAAAGACATGCGCTATAGGGTAAATGGATAAGCTAAATTGGCCCTAGTGTATGTGTGTGAATGTGAGAGTGTATGGGTCTTTCCCAGTACTGGGTTGCAGCTAGAATGGCATCCGCTTTGCAAAACATATGCTGGTTAAGTTTGCGGTTCATTTCCCTGTGGCGACCTCTGATAAAAATATTGTCTAAGCCGAAGAAAAATGAATGAATGGCTGCAATGAAATGTTATTCTATACCAAATGTATATTTTACCAATGATAAAAACTGTGCTAGAATGCTGAAATAGAACAAGCACACATTTGATAGTTGCAGGGGCACATGAGGAAAGACTGAAGGGGGCTGTTTTTCTGACTGAATAGCTATCTGATCATGTGTAAATAAATGCCCTCTGAAACCCATTCTAGAATAGCTCAAACCACTTAAGGAGGTGGTTGTTGAAACCACCTCATGTAAAATGTTATCCTCGGCAAAAAAATAACAGATAAATAAAATGAGTTTTGACTGGTCATTGGGCTAGCTTTGTTGTGGAAACCAGGCAACCCTATATTAAATATAGATTCAATTGGTTCTGTCAAAATAGTGTCATACATTGTGGTATTGTCTACAAATACATTGTATAAAGGGATTCATAAACATTATGAAATTAAATGAAATAGTAAATAAAAAGCAGACTTGCATTAGTCCGTCTGACTAACCTACTATATACACTAGGGTTGCACGATATTAGAAAAATCTCACAATACAATACTTTTTATCCTGCGAGATGTATGTATCTACAAGCATAGATAAATAACAATCTAGAAGCATAGATAAATACAATAAAGAAAAAGATACAAAAATTAAATAGTGTTGGATTGCTTTCAGAGGGGTCGAACTGTACTCAGGTATTAATCATATGTATAATCAATGTAATCAAATAAATGATCATATGTAAAATATACTGCCTAGGTTTTAAAAAAACAATTCAACCGTTATTGATGTGTCAAAGTTACTGACATTACAATTTCTTAGGCCTGAATGCTTTTAAAACCCTCACACGTCTCAAAAAAACTTTGTATTATTATTATTATTATTATTATATAATATATTTTATTATATTATATAATTATAATGCAGACTCAATATTGCATATACTTGCGATGTGACTATTGAGAAAGATCACATTGCGATAACGATGCTGAAACTATAAATTGTGCAGCCCTAATTTACACTATCTTTAGCTGCACACAATCCATATGACTTTTGTAACCCATTTAAATTTGAGATGGAGGGTGGAGTGGGAAAAAAAAAACCTTTGTATATAACACGTTATATGGAATACATTGCACTAGTTTGATGAATCTGTAACTTAATAGTACCCATCACTGTTCGCTTTCACAATATGGAAAAATACTTCAAATTCATGAGAAAGAGAAAGTCATGAAGATTTAGAATAAAAAAAAAGTGAGGAAATGACAAGTGTTTTATACTATCAATCCTTCTAAAAAATATATTAGTTTGCCTTACACTTTATGTAAACAAATTACATGAAATATGCATATTTTTTCTTAAGTAGGAGCTAAATAGACACCACTATTGGAATCATTCAGTATCAGAGAAAATACTGATGTGCGTCTATCACAATAAATCCGGTAGCCTCTATTAGGAGCAGACAGGCGTTTCTTTATTTAGTTTGTTCCTCCATCGAGTTGGCCAGCCAGTATTGCAGGCGTGTCAATAAGCTATAAACCAAAGTTATCATCATATTCAGCCTGTTCACGCCTCGTTTATTAGCAGCATGTGACTAATAGAGTTTGAACAATGACCGTCACAGACAAACAACACTGTCAGACATTTTACTGGCCATAACCGGAAAACTGTTGTAGGTCACAACGACCTAATGAATACATTTTTGGAAAGCATATATTTTGAGATCATTGTTTTTCTACCCATACGGCACTGTCCAAAAGTTGTTCTTAATGTTTCTTTAAGTATCTTTTGTATCTTTAAGTACCTTATGCAGTAAAAACAGTAATACTGTCATAAAAACATATTTGAATTTTTTTTAAATAATTAATAAAATCTCAAAGCTGGATTTTCTGGAGTTCATTGTTACAGGCTCCTTTATAAATCATTCTGATATTCTCACTAGCCACTCATACATTTCTTATAATCAATGTTGAACACAGCTTTTAGCTTTTTGTGTGAAAGTAATTTATGAAAACATTATATATGCACTTACTGTCACTTGGACAAATGTAATTTATCCTTTGTAAATTAAACTGTTTTAATAATATTCAACAATATTTTTGATCTGAATATTTACGCATGTCACAATTTACCTTTATTATTGTTTTGATGCTTGTAGGTTGTGCTACTTAATTGTTTACTAAATTAAGTTTTTCTGTAGCTAAAAAAGAAAAAAATGACGTGGTTCTAAAATTTTACAAGTTTCTTCTGTTGAAAACAAAACCAGATATTATGAAGAATGTTGGAAGAAAGCAGACACTGACATCCATAGTAAAACTAAAAATACCATAGAATTCAATGGCTTTTTTATTCAACATTCTTCAGTGTGTTTTCCTTTTGTACTTAACAGAAAAAAGACACTCAAACAGATTTGAAACAAGTGAAGGATAAGTAAATGATGACAGAATTATAACTTTTGCCTGAACAATCCATTTAATAAAGCTATTATTTTTTTATTTTAAAATAAAAGGGCATTCTCAAAAACTCAAAACAGGTATGGAGGAACTGACCAACATCTATAATCATAAAATCTATAATCATCCCTCAGTTAACAGCATATTCCAGCAGCAGATGAGCAAATCATACCTGCAGGAGAAACATGTGGACAGCTGCTCATCTTCAACAGCTTGAGTGTATCACTGTTATTAGCCACCAGAACCTTGAGTGAAGGATCGTCCACTGGCGTGTCGTCAATTTTCAGAGAAGAAAGAGACTTTGAGTTGACAAATACCACGGTAAGTGCGGAGATGAAGTGAGACTGAAGGAAGAAAAATCAAACATCAGAAAACAAGCCACCTCGTCAACTTAAAGCTCAGCCATAATGAAGTATTGACTAATACCTTCGGTAGCTCCATGAAGCTTGGTCGTGCAGTGGAGATCAGGCCGAGGGTCTTGAGCGAGCAGTTTACTAGCTGAGAAAGGATATCACATGCCGTCTCTGCTGATTCTGTGCTGCTGTCCACCTGTACAGATTTTAGTAAACAAAAACACTAACATTAAGTGAAATAAGACGACAATTTTATAATAAATGGGCAACTTAAAAGTAAACAAAACTAAAAAAAATATATAAAAAAAAGATACTGAAAAACTAATAGTAATAATAATAGCAGAAATAACAATTAGCAAAAATAAATAATATTATAAATTCATAAATCACTCAATTCTCTGGTGGAAAATCTGACTGTTTAAAGAATCATTTGTAGATGCATTCTTACAGCCAAACACATCAGTTAAGTGCATGATTATATACGGACACATTTTCTACACTGTAAAAAGTTTAGTTTCCATATTTTGTGATTCACAAGTGTTTTCTGTTTATTTACGGATGTGAATTACATTATGAGACCTTCATCTCTGCTCTGTAGACCTTAGATCAATGCTACAGTTTAACAAAGTGACTTTTACTGACATTTAAGTAGCCTGAAATAACAAAAAAAAAAAAAAGAAATATTGAAATAATAATGAATAAGAAAATGTAATGGCAGCTTACTGCCAAGTTATTGTACCATAATACAGAACACCAACCCAGACAATATCACTTTAAACTATTAAAACATCAATAAAAGCCACTTTTTTAAAACTTTACAGGGGTTAGTGTTGCTGGAAGAAAATCAAGGTCCTATAATGCAACTCAAAAGCATAAATAATCAGGGAAATGTTTTGAATAAAAATCTGAATTCACAAAAAACTGCTAATTTACAATATTTTTTTGTGTTTTTAGCTAAAAATGTGTTCCATCTCAAAACAGGCACAAGTACATATACAATTTGATCCTAATTATTAAGACTTGTCGGAATTCATAATGTTTACTTGACTTTGTTGCACTTTTATGGTTTTTGGTTTCAGTGTTTATTTAAAAAATTTATTTATTTATATTACTAATGGTTAGGGCCAGACAGAACCTGCGGACATTTCTTGCTATTTCTGCAAAGAATTTTGTAAACAAAATCTGCGGATTTATGTGGAATAATTTTAGGAGCATCATAACTAAAAACTATTTAGTTACTAATAAAAATAATACATCTTTAACTTGTATTTAATGTTTACAATGCAAATCCAATTAGATCCACTTATTTGGTAAACAAAGCAAGTGTCTCATATAATGCGTCTACTAAAAGACAGACAATATTATATAAAAATACCGTATTGTAAAAAAAAATCATATCTACATTTTAATATTACTATTATTATTATTATATCACAATAATATTTGTGAAATGAATTGAAAAACTATAAATAAATATAAAATTACACACATTTACACAAGTAATTACATAGACTCAATGATGAGCTAAAACTCTGCAGAAATCTGCGGATTTCTGTGTACGCAGATTCCGTATGGGCCTACTAATGGTTTGCACATGAGTTAATGTAAGCTGTGTAAACATTAAAGTTGGCTTTGGTCGATGCTGGATATGTTCCAGCATCTTTGTACACACAGATCTAAAAATATTCAAAACAGTTCAATCAACTGAATTATTGTGTTTAGGTTTTGACAGAATAAACTACATTTTGATTTAAAAGCACGAATAATCAGAGAAAAATTTAACATAAAAACATGAATATACAGAAAGCTGCTCATTTGCAAAATTTTTTAGTGTATATAACGATAAAACATTCCATCTAAAAACCAGGCACAACTACACATACAGTTTGATCATTATTATAAAGACTTGCCTGAAATTATTATGTTTACTAGTATCTGTTGAATATGTATGGTTTTGGGGTTCATTGTTTATTAAAATAATTATTTTATTCCTAAAAAGTGTGCACAAGACTTAATGTAAACCGTGTAAAAATTAAAGTTGCCTTTGGTCGCCACTGGCTTGCATGGTTCGGGACTTGTGGAGCTGCGCATGGATGGATTTGCTCTTCAATGCTTGGACTTTCAGCAGTGAAAATTAAACCACTGAACTGAACTAAACTAAACTGAACTTCCACTCTGAAAACTGGAGTGACACCGTTACAATTTACTATAATCTTCTATGTTAAGCTGAGAGGCGAATGCCTTGACCACAGAGATCATCATTTCTAATTTGGCGTAACCTTTTTGTTTGTTTTGTTGGTATAACATTTTTTTTTGTTATAAACGTTATTACAAAATGAAAAAATATATAGTGTATTAGTTAATATAAAGCAATATTTTCTAGACTTTTTATAAATAATATCAAATAAATGTGGAAAATACCCATCCCGACTATATTGACCTTTAGCTCACTAGCCTCAATCAAGTTTGGTTTTTGGCCTTTCATAAGAAAAGATTTGGGCACCCCTGATTTAATAACATCTAGATAATTGTAAGACGTCTACAAATTTTCCTTGAGGTGACTCATAATAAACAAAGCTTCAGTCATCATTTACTCATCATCATGACAAATCCAACTGAAACAAAAGCACAGAAGGCCATTTCAAATGAAGACTGAGAAATTTTAGCTCTTCACTGAGAGTGTATTTGACCAAAAAAAAATTTAAAAAGTAGCCGAAGCTATTAAAGAATTCTAGTCTAACAGATCAACAAAGTGTAAAATATCCACCATATCTCCATTTATGTACATAGAAAAGTGTTAATAAATTTGAATTCACAATGCCTTCATTACGTTTTGGTAAAATATGCCACATTTAAGTAAAAACATTTCCATTTATGTTTTGAAAGTGACCGATATTCACATTTAGATCAAAATAATAACAAGTGGAGTGATCCTTTAAGTCAGGGGGCTCAATCCTGTTCCTGGAGATCTACCTTCCTGTACAGTTTAGCTCTTACCCTGATCAAACCCACCTGAACCAATTAATTAGGACCTGAAATCCACTTGATAATTACAGACAGGTGTGTTTGAAAAGGGTTGCAACTGAAATCTGCAGGAAGGTAGATCTCCAGGAACAGGATTGACCACCCCTGCTTTAAGTCAAATAAACCAGAATTTATTTGGTTACCAACGTTCATATGAGAAATAAAAATAATAATAATAAAACCTACATATCTGGAACAACAGGAGAGGAGCTAAATTTCTTCTAGATGTCATTTTATATGAAATATCACCCCAAAAATCGTGATGCAGGTGAACGTAAATGTGACTAAACTTTGATTTTTGGATGAACTAACCATTTAAAAGCCAGCCTGATTTGTAAACTGTTTAAAATCAAATCAAGACAAATCTGCCAATAACCTACCACATAAGTAGTAGTAGTAGCATTTCTATTTTTCCCCATACCAGAATTGTTGACCATTACATGACCTTCCAACATGAGCCTCTCACCTTGAAGCTGACGTACTGCAAGTGATTAGAGTGCCTCTTTATTATTTGCTTTATTAGGTCAGGATGCGTGGCCTTCAGGTAAGAGGTGGCCGGCTGGTTGAGTTCGAACTCAAAGCATCTCCACAGCTCTGGCATATGGAAGGCATGGTTCCAGTTATGGCAAACCTGTGATGCGAAGGCTCGATCAAGAAGGGGCAGGTACTGAAAGATGTGAAGCAGGATCTCCTGGGGAAGTCGAACCCAATTGGACTGCAGATCTCCAAAGTCCTCGGAGGGCTGTTTCGGTCTCTTGTAGGACACTGTCTGCCCCTCGCATGATGAGGTGCTGTCCTCACACTCTTTGCTCAACCTCCTTTTCATTTTTGGGGATCTGAGGGAACTGTTGAGAACAAGATGTGGAGTGTAAACAAACCAGGTGCAAGCAACCACACACGCATTGACATTAACAAATGTACAAACACACAAACATATGCAGACAAATAAACAAAAGAACACACAACATTAAGGTAAAATTAGTTTTATATTCACAGATTCGTTCGGTGACAACTTATGACATACTCCCTATATTGTTTGCGATGTCACTTTGAATATTCGGTTTGAAATCACTGACTATAACGTCGATACAACATTAGCACTATTTATTTGACTTTGAACAATGTTGTACTTTGATTGTTATTGCTAATATAATTTTGATATTTACAAATTGTAAATAATACTTTTCTGAAATTATATTAGAATGTGTGAATATAAAACCAACTTTACCTCAACATACACAACCAGTACCAGCTGCAAGCATCCATGACATGCATCATTGATTATTTTCAGGGTGTATATACATGTAACGTTAAATTGCGTTAAAATGGTTTAAATTATGCTCAAAACAAGTTAACTTAACATATTTACAAAAACAAAATCATGTTTGGCTGAATGAATGTCTGTTCGCAGCAAATTTAAGTTTTTTTAAAAGCTTGGCCTGGCCATTAACCAACCATCTATCTGAGTAAACATTAGAAGCTAAACAGTATATTAACCCTGAATAAAACATAATCAGTCCTGTAAACACACATTGGGTTAGATAAGTTAGACATAACTTACACAGAAAGATCTAGTAAGGTTAAGCCTTGCTGCAAATCCCCAAATTACCTGTTTTGTGTGTTACTGTTTTCTCCGTCCAGTTCGCTCGCTAACAGTAAAAAATAAACCGAAACCAGAAAAATCAACCGAATGTCAACCGGGCCCGGAATCCGAAATCATCGAAGTGGAGCAAAGCACGCGCATTGGAAACGAATAAGCGCAGATTTCAGTTAATACGTGTTGTTTTCTCGGCAGCCTGTGTGCGTATGTCTCAGCGATATTGCTGGTTGACCTACTTCTGCTGTACCGCGGGAGATTTCGGCGTCCCCACCTCCCTTCCAGAGCTGAAAATGGCGATGTTGTTGTCGAGACAAGCGCGAACCGCATTGGGCGGCTTCCTGTTGTTGTTTTCTATAACCCAACTCGTCTCTTCCTCCAGGGGGCGAACGGTGGCTCAGAGACCAAATCCTTTCATAGAGTACTACTTTTTTGCCTTCTAATCGACGTTTAAACACCACATTTAAGCTTTTGCGTTTTTAATTTACGTTTCCAATTATTCACATGCGAGTGCCATGGAAATTAGCTCTATAAACAAACTATAAAAGTGACAATTAACTGTGATTGGTGGAGCCTAAAAAGCGCGGAGAAAGGTAACAAGTACCACTTAGTAGTGGGGCTGTCTACTGTCTACAGCTCTTTCGCAGTGCTTAATAATAAATTACAATTAGCGTTATTAATGATTTCTTTTCTTACTATTTCTACGGAGACCGAGAAGGGAACGTGATGGTGGGGAAAATGGTGGGAGAAAAAAAAAACAGAGTGATAGGAAAACATGTTTTTATTTTTTTTTTGCGTTCCCTCGATATTTTGCGTTATCTCGCAAAACTGTGTTTCTCCAAAACACTTCCAGTTCACTTCATTCAAGTAACCCTCGCGTTTTTGCCGAATATCCCGTCACCATTCTCCCACTATCCTCCTATCATTCAGTATTTTCCCATATTTCTGATAGATTTTTAATCTTGAAAGCACGCTGAACGTAATATTAAAATATCTGCATTCACTTTCTTTCCATTAAAGCTGTGCGATAGTCGCCTTTCATATGCTACCTCTGAACCAGTGAATGCATGTAAGCGCTGACTGACGCGCACCATACAACTGTTCCCAGATCAGCTTCTCTTTACACGCCTTTTAGAGGACCTGAAGTGCAGGACAATTTTAGATTCGACAGACAGACAAATACACTAAATAATATGTATCTCCGTCCTGCATGTTTTTTTAAACAGCTAATTTCCTCTTAAATAAGCACAAACAGTTTCTAAAGTAGGCTAATGGAATGCTTCAGTTAGCCTATCTGCAGCGCATCCTTGACACCTCTATCAAACGAAACAAAACTGAGATGCATTTGCTGCTCACTTTTTTGATACAGAGGTGACTTTAAATGGCGTGTACAGAAGCTGATCTGGGATCAGTTTATTCAGGGCCGCTGCTGGCCAAAAGGGCCACACTCAAAAAATGATATGTTGGCTTTAAATAACTTTTTATGTCGACAGATTCCACGTAACCGAGTTAAGTTACCTTAAAGAAAGAATATTTATTTGAGTGAATTAAGTTAGTTACATAAAGGTAATGCAATGTTGTTTAGTTCAATCAACACAACATTAATAATTTAGCTTTCATTTATTTACACTGTTAAAAAATCCGTTAAATTTACGGAAAAATACCAGCAGCTGTTGCCAGGAATTTTCAGTAAAAAATGCGAAAGTTTTATAGGACTGTTTAAATTTACAGAAAATAACTGTATTTCATCAACATAGAATGCTCAGTTCACAAAAACCCAGTTTAGCTCAAAAAACGTAAAGTCATTTAATGTACTAATGTGTTCATGTAGGCTTAATTAGCAAACAGATTTTCACTGCATTAGTAACTACACAGTTACTTTAAAACAAAAGAAGATGCAGCACAACATCAGCTATCCTTAGTTCATATTGGACTTAAACAGATGCTACTATCCTCCACAATGGTGCACTCAAAAAAATGATATGTTGGCTCTAATTAACTTTTTTATGTCAACAGGTTCCATGTAACAGAGTTACCTTAAAGAAAGAATATGTATTTGAGTGAACTTGAGTTAGTTACATAAAGGTAATGTTGTTTAGTTCAGTCAACACAACATTTATAATTTAGCTTTAATTTATTTACACTGTTAAAAAAATCTGTTAGATTTACGGAAAAAATGCTGGTAGCTGTTGCCAGTAATCTACTGTACATTTGTAAATCCATATACATATACATCAAATACATTACACAGTCTGTATTTTTCATCAAACACATTTAACCCCTTAAATCCCAGAGCAAACTCCTCACTAGTGTCCTCACTACAGAGGGTTGAACACTCAGGCATTGATGAAGTTAATCAGATAATTAAGAGTCTAATTAAAGTATGAATTGATGAACAACTGTTAACAGCAGAATCACTCAAGGAAAGAAAAACACAAATTACAGCCAAAACCAAAGATGAAATCAACTGAAAATAAAACTCTAAATAAAATAATAATAATCAAAATAATTACACAATAAAAATGAAGATCCCAGCAGAGACCATTAAACAACTCCACTAACTTTACTCATTACTGAGCTCTGACTTTATTTCTGTCATGTAGACAAAAGCTCTTCATGACATTTATGTTGTTCTTTTGAAGTCATTGTGATGTAGGTTAGCATCTGCTTTAGTTGGGCTCTTCAGCTGCTTATTTAACACTAGTTGATATTTGGTTCCTATAATTGATTGTGTCCTATCTGTATAGCATGAAAAGCCAAAAAAATTGCCTATATACGAATCAGTATGATAAGATTAACTATGGTATTGAATCCTCCCTCATCAGCTTCTCTATTTGTTGAATATCTTGTTAGCTTGGTGTAAGAAATGAAAAATATGAATGAAACCACTGGAGCTTTCGCTCTAAATACACAATCCACAATGAGAATGTCTGATCTATGGCAGGACTTAGAAACACACAGACATCAACAATTAGTCTTTATGTGTGTGTGAATTTTCAGACTGTTCTGGTTGAAGAAGGCAACTCGTACCTTTCAGCCAATCAGGAAAGAGCTGTTTTCGATGTCACCGACTCTGCGCTCCTTTTGCGCAGACTGTTCCTCACCAGCATGACGAATGGAGAAAAAGATGCACAGGCTTCAAGCCAAAACTAATAAATTCCCTCACTTTCACTGACTAAAAACTTAATTTACATTAAATCTAAAGTTTCGGTAATAAATGTATAAATATAATACTTTTAAGATGATTCTGATGAGTTTATTTTTTTAATAAGGCAGAAACTAAAGAATTGACAATGAAAATATGAAAAAAAGTGTTTATTTGTTTATCACAGACTGTAGTAAACTTATTTAGGCTATCTCATTTTCTCAGAAGGTGAAAATCAGGCTAAAACCCCTGTAGTCTGAGCTGTAGGCTTTATTTAACTGGATTTGATTGACTGAGGCAACGACTCTGGACACAAAATTAAAGTGCTGTCGAGCTGAATATTCTGATTTGCTGATGGTCAAGCACATTATAGCCTAAAGCTGAGGTCACACTTGACTTTTCTACCCATAGACTTCCATTCATATGCACACGAACGCGTCAGACCAGGGTCATGCGTTAACTTTCGCAGTTTGCTGCGGTGCAAAGTTCAAGCTTGGTGAGCTCTGACCTGCGAAATCGCGTCACTTGACTGCGTGAGACCAATCGAGGATCAAAACATGACCTCTCTGGACAGAAATTTAAAACATGGAGCAATCGCTCGCTTTTTTTAATGTCTAATAATCTTGTTTAATCCCGCCCCTTTTCGCAGTGCCGTACGACAGAATTTTGCACACACAAACTCTAGTGTGACCGTAGCTTAAGTCAGCGGTGCTCAACCCTGTTTCTGGAGATCGACCTTCCTGGAAAGTTCAGCTCCAACCCTGATCAAACACACTTGAACCAATTAATTAGGACCTGAACAGCACTTGATAATTACAGACAGAAGTGTTTGATATTGGTTGCAACTCAAATCTGCAGAAAGGTCGATCTCCAGGGCCCGGTTTTTCAAAAGTAATCCACTAGGATTTTGGATAAGGGATTGGATCAAATCTTGAAAATGGGTTTTTCAAAAGAAAAAACGGATTACATAATCGGATTAGATCACGTTATCTAATCTTGGTTTTGATCCGGATTAAACCTTTAGTTTGGGTTTTTCAGACCTTTTTTGTAGGATCTGGATCACTTTGATCCAAAAAACCTGGATTAAACTCATCCCATCAGAAGGGTGGATTTAGCATGGATTTCATGTCCAAAATGTAATGAAAACTTAAAAATGTATTAAATAATACTAATTTTGGGTCATGCAGTATCTTACTAATATACTATTTATTCATATGGTTTTAATTTTATTTGTTCATCTGTCAGGCTATTGTGAGTATTGGCTTTAACGTATTCAGCCTTTCAGTATAGGTCTACAGCAAAGTAAAAAGAGTTTGGCCTAATAAAATAATCCCCCAAACAGCTGTCAAAACTGACCAAAAACAATAAATTTTATTCTGTCACTAATTGATATATATATTCATCACAATGGAAAATATTTTTGTGTTTAGAATATTTATTAGTGATGCATGCAATGATTACAGAATAACAAAAAAAAAAATGGCAAAGAATGGCAATCGCTGATTTTTTAAATCACTTTCAACAATTGCAAAAAGAGACTGAAAGGGCAAAAGCACAGCTTCATCTGGCAGAGGAACAACTGACTCTGACCAAACTGCAGCAAACCAAGGCCAATGACTTGAGATTCGCCTCCTAAAGGCTACGCTCAGACAAGCTGGTCTCTCCACACACAGATGAGGAAGTCTGAAATTATTGTGGAGTTTTTAACATTAAGTCTTTTTTGATTTACATCTATATTTGAAACTTATTATAAATATCCTCAATGTACAGTGTTGTAGGTCTCAGATGAGCGGACTGCTGAAAGAGGATGGGGTGGGGTTTTTCTTGTTTTTATTATTTATTATTATTATTATTTTAATAATCATAATTTTTTTTTTTAGTTTTCATTTCAAATAAAAATAAAGTTTTATTGGCCCCACGCTGGCTATTCTACTTGTCGCTCTCTACATATCTATAGTTCTACATTGTGATGTCCTATCCTGTTTGAGCACTGATTATCCAGATTTAGTGATCCTGAAAAGTTCCTATCCGGATCAGATCGATCCAATCCGATGTTGTTTTGAAAA